ACATGAGAACAATACAAAACAATTTCCATTAAAAGGCTCTTGTGAGAAAGTTAGTTTTTAAAAAAATCTCTGTGACAACTCTGAAGGGCAGGAGATACAACAGCACAAAGTCCAGCTTGAGACTGTGAGAGTGGATAAGTGTGTGTGTGTGTGTGTCCAGTTGGCTTCCATCCTAGTTTGTAGAAGGCCATCTATGTAGTAATTTACAAATATTCATGGTAATATCTAGATAGATTTCCACATTAAGTTATAATATATACAATGTGAACTCCAAATTTTAATGAAGTCTGTGGAAATCCTACTTTATTTGCTTCACAATTTAATGCCTTTTGTTCTCAATTTGTAAAATGGGAATTTGTAGGGATATGGGATTTTCTTAGGATCTCAGGACAAAGCATTCTATTTTGCATAGATACAGGGTGAGCAATTACCAGCCTAAAAGATAAGTCATAGCCCAGCCGGTGCGGTGCAGTGGTTGAGCGTTGACCTAAAATCCAGGAGGCCATAGTTCAAACTCAATCCCCGGTGGGGGAGAGGGGGGCGGGGGGAGCAGGAGGCAGCCGATTGAGTATTCTCTCTCATCATTGGTATTTCTGTTTCTCTCTCCCTCCCTTCTTCTCTGAAATCAATAAAAATATATTTTTAAAAAGATAAATCATAAGTAAGGATATAAAATAATAACAGACAAATAATGCCAATAAATAATACAGTAATAAATAAATATAATGCAAAAATAAATTGTTTTGGGTACTCACAACTGTTAACCTGTTTTTTCCCACCCCTGTATTAATATCATTTCAATAATTACTTTATATCATCATTTTCAACTTGCACAACAAATAAAGGACATAAAAGTTCAGAATTGCATGTGACTTTGAGTAGTTCATAGACACTAATGTTATGAACTTTCACTATATGACAGTCATAATTTTGTTAATTAAAGAAATAATTTATTTTTCTTGCTTTGCAAGGCCCTCCACCACCCAATTATCTGTCATTTTTCAGCCCTCTCTTTACTATTCTATTCCTCTTCTCACTCTAGATGAAGGTCCTTCAGACTTGCTGTTCCCTCTGCTCTTCTCTTCCCTTCCTTCAAGTCTTTGTCCAAGGGTCATATTACCAGGTAAACCTTGTCCATGTACCACTACTAAACTGAAACCCCCACCCTAGTGCTCCCTAATCTCCTTCCTTGCTTAATTTTTCTCCATAGCGCTCATCACTATCTAGCTTACTATGTTTTTCACGTTTGTGAGTAGCCTGTCCCCCTCCCACTAGAATGCAAACTCTGCATTTGCTGTGATTATTGCTCTCTCCCATAATCTAGAGCTGTGCCTGGCACATAGTAGGTGCTCAATAATATTTGTCTAGTGAATAATACATACACAGCCAGTATGATTTAATGTCTTTCTTTGGGTTGAAAATACCACACGGAATATGGAAATCATTAAATGGTGAATATCACATACCACACAAGAGGCTTCATATTGCTTCCCCAGTTTAGGCCTCAAAAATGCACTGAAAAATTAATAGAGATATTTGTTATCAGCATAAATAAAATTATTATTAGAACATCCTTATGACATATCTTCCAATGAATAAAACATCATGCTACAAAACTCAAATTCCATGCTTCCCGATAGCTTGCTAATAAGCAGGTGCTGAATGGCTGACCACATTTGCTTTTACACATGTAATTACATATATGAAAGAGATGTGCATCTCTATGCTTTCTGTATCGACTCTTAGCCTGAAGATTTTTCCTAATCAGATTCTAAATCGCCAGTAGTCAGAAGTGGTGTATTACTCATGTACAGTCATATTAAAACATGAAAACGAACACAGCTTGTGGGTCATGATTTCCAGAATCCAATTTCTTATATGATAAGTCTTAATAATAATAATAACAATAATAATGATGATGGAACCCTTGTTTATTGGAATAGGTTTCAGGCTTT